TTGTGTTCGTTTCACTGCACTCGAACAAGGACACTTCACATTATTTCACTTGACTCATTCAACTCCGCCTAAGGCCGCTGTACTTGCAACAGCTTTCCTAACCCTCTTCCTAAAAGTTGTGATGTTTCCTATATTTTAAAATAAATTTATTAAAAAAAGTTTCTATCCATGGCTCTACAGCCCTTGTGGATCTTCGCCGCTTTTTCGGTTTCTTAATCTATACACCGTCAGTAGGACTCTTGGACGGGGGATCAGCCAGACGTAAGACCTCTGCCTACACACAGAACAACACAAATACAGACATCCATGCCTTGAGTTGGATTCGAACCCTCGATCACAGCGTTTTAGGGGGCGAAGACTGTTCATGAGTTAGACCACCTCGGGCACTGTGATCGGCATAAAAAATTTTAGTCGGAACATTTTAAAAGAAGAGACCACTTAAAAGGGGAGGATAATATTAAAATTGACCTTAGAGAAATAGGGTTTGAGACTGTGGCTTGTATGCAACTGACTCAGGATAGTGTCCAGAGCCAGGCTGTTGAGAAAATCGTAATGAACCTTCGGGTTCCTTAAAAAGAAGGCAATTTGTTGAATAGCTGAGAAATATAACGTTCACAAGTTCTCTGCTACATAGATGCAGTTAATATGCCAGGAAATTATTCTAGAATAATATTCATTCATCACTCCCCAAGGTCATCCAGCATCTTCTTACGTCTTCTTCCTCGTCTTCTGGATAGGAGGAGAATATATTTGAGAGCTTATAGGAATTCGTGAAAGGGATCAAAATGACTGGTTTCTCGAATAATAACCTCCACTTCCATAACGCTTAATACACTGAGTGAGGGATCTGTTGTTTCTTCAAGGAAAATATGACAATATTAGAAATATGCACTTTCAGTTCGTCCATTTTTTTTTTATTTCAGTTGCACATAAATTTGTAAACTCCATCAGAGGAGGGACTGTACTTTGTGAAAGCAGTGCTGTTTATGAAAACGATTGTCTTCTATCACAAATTAACGAAAACCACGAAATTTTTCCTGGTCGGTATTCCAGCCTATTTCAATACAAGGAGTTCTTCATGTTTGTGATACTGCATAATGCAATACATAAATTTAGTCGAATGCCCCAGATCTTCCGCTAAGAGATAAAATGCAGTATTGCACACTGTTGTCTCTACAAGGCTGTACGGTGGCAACACGAAAACCTAAATAGCTTTTCAACCTCTGTACGATACATCTACAGAAAGATACCAAAATAATCTTATATAATAACGAAATATTTCATCGGCTTTAGCTACATTTTCAGAAACCGAAATAACTCAGTGAAGCCAAGTCTTTCTTGAGAAGACAACAATTTCTCAGCCACACAAGAAATTCCCAAAACTTAATGAAAACCGATGGTTCGTTACAGTGTTGACAAAAGCCCACCACTTACCCCATTTCTTCTCTTTATTGAAAGCATATATATATTGAATATTTACTGACTTTCCTATTTGTAAAAAAAGGTAAAGTTGTCCCTGTGCCTAACTAATTAAGCACTACGCCATGAAGACGTATGGGGGAGTGGATGTACGTATAGATCCACCTTTTCTTGACCTTGGCACTAGTTGGAGATGAGTGGTCAGCTCCACGTCCCTACCGCTTTAACCCCTGGGTACCATTTGGATAAGTCTGGGTGGGCCCCACAGCCGGTCTGGACGAAGTGGAGAAGTGAAGTTCGAGTACCCAACCGGTACTCGAACTCCGGCCCCTCGGTCGTCCAGCCCATAGGCAGTTGCTGTACCGACTGAGCTACCCCGGTTCAACTGTCGAATTCATGCTTGGATACAATTATTTTTTAAATAATTTTTGAGAAGTCGGCAACCCCCTTTAGAACAGGTAGATTTCCTCTAGGGGGGTGCGACCAACAATTTTATAAGCTGTTCTTTATCGTGCTTACCCTCAGTAAGGTTGTCGGCTGAATCTTCTTGATCGAATTTGAGGCTGAGGTTGAGCTCGCCGTTGTTGATGTTCCGTGAAGACAGTGTGAGCTGTGAGTCTCCCGGCAGGTTCACCATCACATCGTGGGTCTGCACATAACCCTGCACTTGTTCCAGTATCCCATGGCCCTCGTCAGCGGGTGCCGAGTTGCGCACGACGGACACAGCTTCTGACACCTGTTCACAAGCAAAGCGCGTCTGAGTTACACTGAACTGCGTTGTACGTGTTGTGGGGATAACGTTTTGTCTGAAGATTTCTTTCTTCTGGCATATAGCGTCGTGTAGTACGTTGAAAGTGAACTGACGTTTTGGAACAACATGTCGCCTCCATCTTCAGGATTCAAAATAAGCCAAGCAAGAAACCATCATAAAGAAGGTATCAAGTAGAGCTTGCTTCCTGCCTGCTTCACGCTGGTTTATTGCTTGGCTGCGTTATATCCCAGAATGTGCTGTTGTCTGGAAAACCTCCGTGTGTACATCATGCTTTGAGTAGGCGACCTTACTGAAGAAAAGTCCAGTATGCTGACAGTAGAATCTAGTAACTTTCTCGCGGTGACGTAACCATCTCCGTTACTGCGAGGGAGATTCAGTAAATATGTCACAAACGGATATAAAACGTAAAACATTTGATATTCGAACCTGGAAAAACATTTATTTCTCGACATATCTTCCTCCATATAGTCCTGCACGGTAATGGATTCATAAGAATCTGGCCACCCTTGTCTCGATAAGAATTTGCACTCACTTATTAGACACATTCAATGCGGTATTGAATGTTTCCTCGGAATATATTATCACGTATATTATATATAATATATTATATTATATAAACACTCGACGGGGTTTGGGATTGAGTATTGGATTTATTGAACACTCTAACACATAACTAGTACTTACGCTTAATTGTAACGCCATCGCTAAGGTCCACTCTTTACAGTTCACTAAGGCGCACAGACTAGTGTTCTCAGTCTATTACAGTCTCCATTATCCGTCTCCTCGTAACGGCTTCTAACATTAGCTACTCCTCTGTTTCCGGTTTAAGTCCTCTCTGAACGGCGGCTCCATTCCAACTATTTGTTCTTGCTTCAGTTTTCCTTATAACCCCTTTGCGCAGACCGAGTAGAAAACACCGTTTGCAACAGTATCTCTATTGTTGCATGCGTATCCGTTACCGCGGGAACGTGTTTACCTAGACACTGGCTAGAAACGGCTCTACATGCTACAATATAAATGAAAAGAATTGTTCCAAATAACGTATCACATAGAATTAGCAATGCTCAGTGGCTTATATAATTTAGTTCTAAATTCAGCACGCGGTAGCGTAGTTGGTTGAGGCACTATGCTACAAGCCGGAAGGTCAGGGGTTCAAGTCCCAATGATGTTATTGGATTTTTTCAATTGATCTAATCCTTCCGGCCACACTGTGGCCCTGGGGTCGACTCAGCCTCTAACAGAAATGAGTACCAGGAATTAATTAAATAATTTTCCTAGGAAGTAAAGCGCGGCCGGCTCGTAAGGCTGACAACCTTACCGCCATCTTTGAGCCGATTGTCTAGATAATGTGGGACCCTCAACATCTCACAACCCTATGGGCCTTCACGGCCTTGTACAGGGATAGCTTTACTTTTTTTTATTCAGCAGGCTCTAAATAAAGGGAAAGACAGACTTTACGGACACCCAATTTACAGTTTGAACGTCGACCTTAATGCTCGCAAGGAAATGGCACGTAGCTGAAAGTAATGAATTCTTGAACATTAAGACTATCGATTTTACATTTAATGGCTTCAATAATAAAGTTGTATAAGAGGAAAGGAGCCTGTATATGGAACAGAAAGGACTGGAAATAAAAAGGGAATTGGAGAAATTGCATTGAGATTTGGTAAGACCTTGACATTTCTCAGTTTGTTTATAGGCTCAGAAACATGGACTTCTGAAAGGGGGGAGGGGTAGATAACTTCTGAAACACTGAATTCAATTTCTATGAACAGAAAGAAGTTTATGAGATAGTATAAGAGATGTAATCAATAAATAACATTTTCGGTACAAGACAAAAAAGATAAATGTAAAATTTAGAAAAAAATATGTCATTTATCCACAACAAATCCCACATGTCATGACCTAGGATCGCGGTTGGAAGCCGTACAGATGATAGAATGTACTATTATAAGCATGATTGTATTTTGACATAACTAACTCTGTTGGGCCAAATATCTGCAGACACTCCCTATTTCCTACCCGAAGATGGGATTCGATCGATTGTGCTTTTTACCTGAATATGAAGGTAATGTCCGTTCTCCGAAACGCCAGATGTATTTTTGTATGTGGCGGCTTTTGAAAAAGAACGCAGTGTTACGAATGTTTTGCCAAAACGACCCCAGGAATTTAATACGTACTTTACTAACACTCCTAATATTAGGCTGTCGTTTGAAAAAGCAGAACCCAGTGTTAGAGTCACCCGCTATTCATATAGCATATTCACGAAATTTTGGATCTTACGTAAAAAATATAAAGGTAAAAGGTAAATCTATCCCTGTAAAAGGCCGTTAAGGCCCATAGGGCTGTGGAATGTCGAGGCCCTCACATTCTGTAGATAATCGGCTCATAGATAGCGGTGAGGTTATCAGCCTTACGCTCCGGCCATGCTTAACCCCCCAGGAAGATTCCTGGTACTCATTTCTGTTAGAGGCTGAGTCGAACCTAGAGAATAGTGCTGCTGGAAGGATTAGGTCAATTGAAAATATCCAGTGACTTCATCGGAAATCGAACCCGCGACCTTCCGCCTTTTAGAATAGTGCCTCAACCAACTATACTACCACGTCCCTCCCCCATAGAACTATACTGTGTCATAACCTAGAAGAACTAAATATAATTTTTCACCGCCTTGATAATCCGAGACCTCATAGAGCCAGAATACATGTTCACTCACCTCTGTTGAATCATTCTTGAATAGTTCATCAATGGCGCTAAACACTTTATACTTGAAACACGCTAGAGCCGAATCACTCTTTGATTGTACACATTCACTTCGCAGTTGTTCCATGGCAGATTCAAATTTCCACGAAACCTTATTTTTGGTTGGCTGTGCCACCGCTAGAGACGCTAGTATCACCACACAGCAAACGCTCAGTTTGAGAGCCATTGTGAAGACACTACTAAGCTGTGACTAGGCAGAGTTTTTGTTCGCGATTGTGACTGTAATAAATCACGGGGCGGACTTTATACCTCGGTGCCTGAGGAAGTGTCGTTCCCCTTCACCCCAGTTTGGGATACACTGTTTAATATTCCGTCGGCGCCCTACGCCTACAGAAGGAACGTAAACCACATAGCGAATATTAGAACGAAGACGAGGCCTCTTGAGGTTCAGTAACAAAGTATGTTCTAATGGAGAACATCACTGTGGGACTTTATAATGTGAAAGTGGTTATGCAGAATGGATCTTAAGCATGTAGAATCTAACGAGTTCTGACGACGGTGCAGAGCACTCGGAATTCCTAGGTTCTTAGACTTTGTGTATCGTATGGAATTCTAAAATAAGAAAATTAGAGAAACGAATTTTTCGGAAACTGGATCTATTTTCGTCCTCAGATTAGGGGGGGGGGCGGAAGACATACTCCATTGGGCCCCTTAGAAAGAGATAACCGCAGTCATTACGCTACCTGTGTCATAACTACAGCGATACAGAATGTCCCAGGAGGAAAGGTGAAAATTCTGGGAGGTCATAGTATCGGTCATTCTAAGCAAAAAATATTAATATGTTCATAGATCCTAATACGAACGGTTTCCGAGACAGAGCTGTTTCACTGTACGGTACACTGTACATACGAGCAACACGCCGTGTCCTCACACGAGTTGCAAAGTGTTTTGATGTTGACGGCAGAATTTTCGAAGATATATTAGGTAAAAAAGTAAAGCTATCCCTGTAACAGGCCGTGAAGGCCCATATGGTTGTGAGACATTAAGGATCCCACATTACCTTGACAATCGGCTCAAAGATGGCGGTAAGGTCAGCCTTACGCGCCGGCCGCGCTTTACTCCCCAGGAAAATTATTTAATTAATTCCTGATACTCATTTCTGTTAGAGGCTGAGTAAACCCCAGGAAGGATTAGGTCAATTGAAAAAATCCAGTGACCTCATCGGGACTTGAACCCGCGACCTTCCGGCTTGTAACATAGTACCTTAACCACTACGCTACCGCGTAACACCCCGAAGATATATTATACTAGGTAAATTGTACCAACTTTGTCACATGAACAATAAATACGGGTCTTAAGAACAGTACATATTATCTCTTTCTTATCAACAGTTTTGGAACTGTACAATGACATACATGGGACGATAATATTAAGATGGATCTTATATAAGATGGGGCGGTATAGGCTGAATTGATCTGGCTCGAGATAAAGACCAAAGAAGGGCTTTTGTGAACACGCCGAAGAAACTATCTTCATAGTGTGTTAGTGTGTATCCTGTTGTTTGTCATCAACTTATATGGTTGAGGTTAGCCTTCATAATTTGTGTTGGTGACGGCTAACCTTTAACCATATAATACGGTAATGAAACTTCGGGTTGCATCAAGTGTTGGGAAATTCTCCTGTAGTTGTGAAGTTTGCGGCTTCTCAAGAAGGGCTCAGCTCCAATGAGTGTTATTTAGGTAGTTTAGATAAATATATTCAAATTTTCTTTGAAGATTAATACTTTACTGTTAAAAGCTGCGTTAGGTCTGATATCCTGGAGAGCTTTCCTCACGGCAGCGTGACACCATAATACCGAGCGGTTCGTATTCCGGTCAGCATAGCGACGTGTGGGGCCTACATTACTGCCATTCTAGGGCAAACGGCAGAAGAGTTTGTTGATAGGATCTGCGAGGTAACCTCTCAGCGTAGCGGAGAAAACCGCCTCTTGCGCATGGCTACAACAAAGCTCACTGTACAATATATCCACCGTCCGCACTCTGTTGGCTAGCACAAAGGCTAGTCTCGAAGTTGCTCCTCTTCTTACACGCAATATATACATCTTACCCTGAATGTTTAACTCTTGGTAACTACATACACAGCGTTCATTGACGTTAATTAACACAGTGTGATTATAAGTTTCTGTTGGCTTTCAAGTGAAAGGGCATTTGTTTTCTTCATCTTCACTGCAAAGGTTAGATATTAGCCTATTCCAGCTTATTTGTGACTCCATCGACTTGCATATTTTTAAATATGTTAAAAGTACATGCCCACACAGAAAAATCTACACTGCAGTTTTTTAAACTATTCTATCGTTCGTGGGGTTGACTTAGCATTTCACATCTCTGGTCTGTTGGACTCGCGTCATTATTGTGACCTCCAAAGCATAATTTCTGTGGGTCATGGAGTGAAAAGAAAAGTGTATTCCCTCACTAAAATGGTCTGTCTTTAGAATTTCATATACATAAAAAGTTATACTATACTGTTTGTAACTGCTAGAATATATATATATTGCTAGTGGGGTGGGACTAAGTCCCTTGTACTGCGGCCACTTCTGGCCTAGTTTACCAGCCCCAGATGATAGGTGAGGGTGATTGTGGAGCAATTGGTGGAATGAAGATTGGCAGGGGAAACCGAAGTACACGGAGAAAACCTGCCACAGCGCCACTTTGTCCACCACAAATCCCACTTGACCAGACCCGGGATCGAACCCGGCCCGCCGCGGTGGGAAGCCAGCGACTAACCGCTTCAGCTATGGCGCGGCGTCACTACTGGAATATATAACTAAATTAGCTTAACGTAAAGAAAGGTAAAAGTAAAGGTATCCCTGTAACAGGCCATGTAGGCTCATAAGATTGTGAGATGTCGAGGCTCCCACATTATCTGGACAATCCGCCTCAAAGATGGCGGTGAGTTTGTCAGCCTTACGCACCAGTCGTCCTTTACCCCCAGGAAGATTCCTGGTACTAATTTCTGTTAGGGGCTCAGTCGAACCCAGGGCCATAGTGCGGCTGGAAGGATTAGGTCAATTGAAAAATCCAATGACCGTATCTGGAATCGAACCCGCGACCTTTCAGCTTGTATAATAATGCCTGAACCAACTACGTTACTGCCTGCCTCCAGACTAAATTATTTTAGCGCTAATAAAAATTCAACTACACGTCATGCGTCCCTGAAGACCTCGCATAATTCAAGACAAGTTTACATTATTTCAAACTTTGCGCATGAAGTTATACTTTATTACAATTTTTTTGTATCGCATTATTTAAGATTCGCATAAAATGCGACCATAAAATCAGGGAATTTCTTGATCAGCTGAGCTCCCGAAGAAGGGCTGTGCTTCATATGATTATCACATTTCCATGGGGCCAGATGTCTTTATTCCCAGTTAAGACAGGACATCGTGTATAAACGAAATGCACTGACTTGAGTTACTGGCCTGCGTGCTCATTGCTATTCACAAGTGGTGTCGCCTGGGATGCATGACTCGCACTGCCCCACATAACCTCACTTTCTATGGTTTGGCGCCGTTGTAAACTCCTCTTTATTATGCGAAGCATTTGAAGGGCAATCTAATTACATGTTAAATTAGTGGATCAACTCAAGTTGTGCTCATTACACTGTCTGAAATAATGCATACATGCGAAGCAGGGAATATTCGACCTAATTGAAGGAGTGAAGCACTTTGTGGAGCATTGCGAGACGCTCTTAAGTCCTATTTGCTGTTTCAGTTTATTCCCTCCTTTATTCCCCTTTCCAATATTAGACGGGTCTTTTGTTGTCATGATATGGCGCGTCCTGAGAGTTGAAAAAAAGAGACTGTCTCCAGGCACGAAAGTTTTTTGCATTTTTTTTTATAAAAGAGCCTCTGATAGCCGACAGGTGTTTGATGAAAGTCAGTGAAACAAAACTGCAACATTTCAAATTATATTTAAATTGAGGCACATATGTATTTTGGGGTATATGACTTGGTCACGGCTACATTATACATTTACAGAATTTAAGTTGTTATATCTGGCTTATGTATAATCTGCCGTACGTATACCCTTCGCTATATCCATGGGTCCCCCTAGCAGACAGTGTTCCCGTAAGTCCCCGTAGCAGAGAGCGTATCCGTGAGTCCTAGCAGAGGGTGCAACCGTAGTTCCCCCTAGAAGAGAGAGTATCTTTGGGTCCCCCGAGTAGGCAGTGTATCTATGTGTCTCCCGAGCAGACAGTGTACCCGTGGGTCCTCCTAGCAGCCAGCGTATCCATGGTCTTTTCTGGCAGGCAGTGTACATGAAATTTCGCTACGGCTGGACGGATAATAAACTCGATACTGCAATATCTGAATAAAAACCTGTCATAAAAGGTGATTTAGAGTCATGTGGATATATCAGAACTCTTACTTTAGTTAAAACAAAAAATCTACATGAATTTTCGAGCACACATCCTCGAATGTAAATATCAGAAGAAATGGTTGTACATTGCAGTGTTCTCTTCTGTTTGAGTCTGTTTGATATCGCGTACTGCTTTTGCGAGTATTTCAGCCGAAGCCTAAAAATGTAATAACCGATGCTTGTTATGAGTACTCCACTGACCATAATATGATTTTTTTTTTTGTATGCGTATTTCTTTGAATTCTTCCATCACCAATTTCATGCGATATTAAAAATTTTCATCTCTTTTTTCAAACATATTTTATAATTTACAAGATCATAAGAAATTTTTGAAACTTAATAGAGCATTAATTCCTTATATTCAAAGAATAATTTAGTTATATATCATATTTACCTCGTTGGAAATACCAATATTGTCAAAATTGATCTAAAAAATTAGGTTTGTATATATATTTTTTTTTAGTTCCGTTGAAACTTTACTGTTAGAAATAATTGTCGTTTTGTGGTTGTGTTTTCAAGCGCTGTGGGGTTCATACTTCTAGAAACCCGGGCCGCCGCGGTGGGAAGCCAGCGACTAACCGCTTGAGCTATGGCGCGGCCCTGGCTTGTGAGATAAGTCTCAACTAAATAAGACTGAGATAGGTGTTCCCAAGCCAAATGTGCACTGCATCATCAGAAGAGTGGGTTGCCTTTATGGATTGCATCCTGTTGTGTATATAATATTTGATATTTATTTGCTTTTTATTTT